TCAAGCTGGTGTACATCACAACGCCCAACAATTTTTATCCGATCGACAAAAATCAAATATCTTTATACTCAGCATGGGTGCCTTTATGGTACTACCTAGCCTTTTTTAAAAAGAATCACTAGATTTTTTTTTGGCAATCGATTTTATGTCAGATTTTTAGGCGAAAATTCGATTTTTTTTTTCAAAGTCGCGCCATTTTCTCAAAAATTGATATTTTTTTTAATCCACCGGTACTACCTTAGCCAAACTATCACAGATTAAGAACCAATTTGTATTTTTGCTTTAGGTCACTCCAGTCAGCCACAATCGTGTACATCAGCAAGACATACGCGACGCTAGCGGCCTCTTTTGACGGCGTTTATTTTATAAACCATGATGATTTTTCAAAAACAAAAAATATGTTCAGTGTCTTTAATATGTAAATAAAAAAGCCCAAAGACCCGATTTTGAATTGCGCACTTCTTTGTATGTAAAAAAAAAAAATCTTGAAAATGAGATCGATTTTGGCCGTAAAAGGTGTTATACCCCCTTAATAAAAGAAAGAATTCCTATGAAATTTTCATTGAGCTTTTTGGGACATAATTTGGGACGATTTGAGCTATTATCTCGAAAGATAATTTTAAAATGGCTTCTTAATTAGACTCTAAAATCAGTTTTTTAAATTAGTTCACGAATTTGTGATTAAAATTAAGATCGCTTGCTTGATTAAAATTAAATACGCGATTATCTTGCTTTAGGAATAAGACATGTCTAAACGTACAACACAAATTCACGTGATTTATGTAATAATTTTGTGAAAAACAGAAAAAAAAAACTATGATATATTACTCGAGAAATTTAAAATTATGTAAATAAAATGTGTTTTATCGTTTGCGTTACATAAATATTAGAAGTGATAATTATATATGTTTGTGAGCATAAATCGGAATGACTAAAGTAAACTGTTGAATCATTGCTATATAATGTATGTATATATATATTAGGTGTTGGAATTAATTCGTAGCGTTTTTTAATGAAAGAATGTTATTTATTTCACATGAGCATTAAAAAATACATTAATGAAAGTACTTCCCATCACTTGTAAAACGCTACGAATTAATTCCAACACCTAATATATATATATAGCATTTTTTATATTTCATTTTAAATGAGACGTCACGGAAATGTGATAAAATAATTAAAAAATAATAAAAAATCTCAGAAGTATTCCATAAAATTTTCTGTAGAAATTGCAGTTTAATTCTTTATGTTTCACAATTAGCAGTGTGATAAATAAATGTTTATTTATATATTCAAGACTGTTTGGACTGCAAGGATTTACATATTCAACACTTTTGTTGATATGTTAGTTTCTTAAAATCTATGGAACATATTCTTACATTTAATTAAAAACAATTTCGTCTGAAAGTCATTTCATTCTTACACAGAAATTTGTAATATATACAAGAAGAAACAAATTATAATTTATTAAAAAGATTTTTAATATTCATGACAAAAACTTTCGTCTTGTAATATCTTATATAAGATCGCATCTTTCTTCATTCATTTGTTTTAATCATTCAGTATTGGTAATTTAACAAGTATTACAAAATACGATAAAAATACATACATACAGGGTGAAAAATTTCAAACGGGACGAATATCTCGGAAAATATGAAAAATATGATAAAATGTTTCAGACAAAAATTGCATGATTTAGAGAAGGCCACATTTTAGTCATATTGTCTTTCTTCTAGATGGAGGTGCCAAAAAAATATAAAAGTTGCCTCTATTTTTTTTAATTTAATTGTATAATTTATTTTATACGATGTGATATTCCTTTAATTATTCTGCATATAAAAGTATTAAGATAGTGATATCAAAAAATCAAGTTTATGAAATATTTTATATTTTATTCCGACACATAATTGACATAAAATATTAAATAACTCATAAACTATTAATTTTTTGTTTATAATTAAGCTCATTTCATATTAAAATCCAAAGTTAAATTTTTCTATTTCCACATTTTACTTAACAAAAGAGCAGATCATTCAAAAGACATATATACTACAATTATTGGAAGTTATTTCTATTTATAATTCTATTTTAGACTTCCAATTAGCAGACACATTAAGAAATAATATGATCGATAAGTATTGAAATACAATCGTTTATTCAAATATAAAAGACCTATGTTTTTTTATAGTCGGAACAAGATAAATTAAGATATATAAAATAAGCATTGGGATAATATACATACCGGAAGTGTAGGTATTTATTGTAGCATTATTTTAATCATTATTTTTTAAATTAAGTATCTCGAGAAAGCTTACTTTCTCTAGAATCACTTTTATGATTAGAAAAAGCAAAATGAAATTTTATTAAGTAATTTGAAATGAAATTCTTGAGAAATTTTTTCGCCCTCTCTCTCTCTCTCTCTCTCTCTCTCTCTCTCTCTCTCTTCTCTTCTTCTCTCCTCTCTCCTGCGATAATTTGCCAAAATAATAATAAAATCTGGATTAAAACGATAGTCAAATTCCAACGTGTCCATCGAAGAAAGTGTCCGAGATAACTAACCATCACGCTTAACGAGACCTTTGTGGCATCATCCAAAGGCAAGCATCCTGTTTAGCACCATAGATGAGTGATACAGATCACATTGTGAGTGACGACGATACGAATTGCAGTTGCTCTAATCAAAATCGACATTGATATCGACAAGGAAATGTTGTGTCGTGACAGACATATACGCTATTGAGATAATCGATTATTCGGCATGCAGTCTCGTGTACTTTGTCACGCAATGTATCACGTGGAAGCGATTACGAAAATGAAATCATACAGACGATTCACACGGACAAGTCGTGATCCAGTCTATTTCAAAAATTATTATCTATAAATGTTGTACGATAAATAAAAACACTATATAAACACTATATAATATACACTCATATGATATATAAAAAGACAAGGGTGCTCTATAGAAAAACATATGATAGTTCCTATATAGAGAAGCAATGTTTGTTTTATAAATTTATTCTAAACACAATGCGAGGCAACAGCGGTAAGAATGTTATAGAAATAAGCGATATATAATTGTCGCCTCCCGTTGCACAATGTCGCGAAAGAAATAAAAAATGCTAACCAATCGTATATTTTTGTATATAGGGTGTCCCGTAAGTTTTGGCCAATTGTTTTTGTATAAATACAGCGGACTAAACTGAGTCGAAAAGCCCTCTACCATTTTACAATTTTCGCAATGGTTAACGAGATATTAATTACTAAAAGTCACTATATCTTCAATCATTTTTTATTCTAATACTATCTCAAATACTATCAACTTCACAAAAAATCTGCAAGAGACAAAAATCATTTATTTTCCTCTTATAAAACTCTGAAGCCTAAACACGATAGGCAACAGTGATAGCGATTTCTCTGCTCCTATCGCTATCGTTATCGCTATCGCTGTTGCCTTATTGTTAGTGTTTAGGGCTTTACACTATTGCGTTTTATAGAACAACAATATGTTTTTTGTGCAAAGTTTTTTTTTAAAAAAGTTTGTTTTATAGCTGTATTTCTAGATTGACATATATATATCGGTTATTTGTTATTTCAAAAAATGCAATCAAAAATGGCGTAATAGTCTGGTGACTCTTTGACCTGTGACATAAAAGCAACGATCATGTGTTCGCGTACGATTTAATTCGTCAGATAGATAGATATGTTTCGTGAGAGTATGGCGTACGCGAAATAAGCAATCTCATCGATTCGATTTCAGATGAAATATTTATCGTCTATATATCATATAATATTTAATTAATATTAGGTACCAATAATAAAAATAATAATAGTAAAATAATTTCAAAAAAAGAGGCTATAAAGAATCAAATTTTTAATATCAGTTATTATTTATATTAAATCTATTTTTAATAGATGACTTTATTGCTTCCTATATAATACAGATCGAACAAAAGCGATATCGCTTCGCATAAAATATTAATTTTAATTAATTTTAATTAATTTTAATATTTTAGATAGCAAAAAATCTGTAAGTTATATGAGCACGATTAGAAATAAATAAAAATAGCATACTGAAATTTCTTATTTATTTATCTCTACCTCAGTGACTTTTATTATGGTCGTTTATTATATGGATCTTTTAAAGTCATCATCGATAATATATCGTATACAAAGTGGATTCTTCACATGGAAGAGGGTTCATATTACCCACTATTTTTCTCTTTTTTTCTTTTTCTGGGATTCATTTGCTTCATTTAACTTTTCTATTTCTAATTCCAAAGCTCTTTGCTTTCGTCGACATGTAGGCGTTTTGGAGAACCAGGCTGTAATATATTAAAGTTCAAGTTTAAACCTGCTAAAAGTTCGATACCTGTCATACGCTATTACGCATTATCACAAACCTAAAAACGCATCTTCCTCTTCGCGATACACTGGATCCTTGAAACTCAATGCATTCACCAATTCCACGTGAGTCAAAGGATGAGTTCGTAATTGTACCATTCGCTTCGTAGTCATTACCTGCATCATAATAGAATAATAAAAGAACGTTAAATTAAAAATAATATTGTAAGTACTGATAATATTGACATTTGTAATGTAAATTATCGACCTCATTGATTGTTGCTAAAATAGTTCCTATCGTGAAACCGTCGCACGCTTTGGCCATAGCTGACGTATCAAATTGTCGGCTAATACCTGAATACTAAAAATTAAAATTTTTACATGTAAAAATAAATTACTAATTATGTCAATACAAACTCATTTGACGAAATGATTGTTTAGCGTAAAAAATTAAGAGATTGGGCGATTATTATTAAATGAATTAATAGATGAATAAATTAAAGATTATATAACGTGATTCTTTAAATATGTAATTCATTAAATATGAATTCGAACACACTTTGTACAACTCACTTTATATAATAAATCTTTCCATATAAAA